CTCCATCGACTTTGAAGGCTCATGAACACTACTAGTTAAGGGTGTAAAGTGAATTTCACTATAATAGAACAAAGGCTGTCGATGTAGTAAAACTGGATATTAGAATAAATAAGAACTAGTTCACATTCACAACTAACACCATATACTGTTATAATTATACATAGCCAATGGTTTTACTCAAAGAAAATAAATGTGATGTGATAGGAAATTTATATAAATATGTAAGATCATTTTCTAGGATCCACCAGCGAATTATCAAATAGGAAATGAAGAAACAGTTTACAGAGGAGGAAAAAGGAATTAATGCATAGAAAAGTCTACAGCCTCATAAAACTAAACACACACACACACACACGAGTACTAGTATTCCTGTATTATTTCTTATAACTCCATGTGAATCTACAATTATATGAATAAACTTTTCTATTTAGAAAAGTCTACAGCCCGGGGTGCCTGGGTGGCTCAGTCGTTAAGCATCTGCCTTCGGCTCAGGTCATGATCCCAGGGTTCCGGGATCGAGCCTGGGTCTGGCTCCCTGCTCGGCAGGAAGCCTGCTTCTCCTCTCCCACTCCCCCTGCTTGTGTTCCCTCTCTTGCTGTCTTTCTCTGTCAAATAAATAAATAAAATCTTAAAAAAAAAAGAGAAAAGTCTACAGCCTCAATAGTAATTAAATGAATGCAAATCAAAACAAAATTAAGTTCTGGTTACATAACATGGATTCCAGAGCAAATGAAAAATGTTGGCAGGGGCTCCTGGCTGGCTCTTGATCTTGGGGTTGTGAGTTCAAGCCCCATGCTGGGTGTAGAGATTACTTAAAAATAAAATATATTTTTTTAAATGTTGCAAAAAAGATGGGGAACATGTTACACTCTTACATTGTTAATAACATTGCAAGTCAGTTCAATCAGTTCTGAAACAATCAGAGTTTTGAATTTTCTTCAGTTAGAATTTTGTATAGGTCATTGTGCAGTTCTTTTTCCTTGGATTTTTTAATTTTGAAAATCCTGCATGCTTCTTTTAATATGGGAAAGAAAGGGAAGATAAGGGAGTAATGAGAACTATCCGTACTTAACACTCATTTTTCTGTAAATTAAAAACTGATCAAAATAAGTCTATTAATTTAAAAAGAAAGAGGAATGCCTGGGTGGCTCAGTCGGTTGAGCGTCTGCCTCAGCTCAGGTCATGATCCCAGAGTTCTGGGATCGAGTCCTGCATGGTGTTCCTTGCTCAGCAGGAACCTGCTTTTCCCTCTGCCTGCCACTCCTCCTGCTTGTGCTCTCTCTCTCTCTCTGACAAATAAATAAATAAAATCTTAAAAAAATAAAAATAAAAAAAGGAAGAAGCTATGAATACACGAAAAGTCATTGGACTGTATGGTTTAAATTGGGGAACTGTATGGTATATTAGTTACATCCCAATAAAGCTGCTTTCTTTAATAAGTAAAAGAACATGAAATGTGTATTTTGTAGTTCCTAAAGCAACCACAAAATAAAATATAAAAAGATATAGTGAAAATTATAACAAGTAAATTAAAATGCAGTACTAAAACAGGTTCAAATAACACAGAAGAGGAAACAGAGAACTGAAAAATAGGAAAAGCAGAAGACTAATAATAAAATGATAGATGTAAATCCAAATATATCAACATTTAGTGTAAATGACCTAAATACAAAACAAAAGAGGGATTATCAGAGTAGTAGAGCAAATTGCTGGCATCTCTACTGTAGAGTGGGAATTCCAAGGTTTGGGTTCCTCATCTGTGACACAAACCCATCATAGGTGCAACATGCATCTGGGTCACCCCATATCATTCCCATGGGACTTGGGGGCAAGCAAACGATGTGAACATAAAGCTCATGAGCCTTGTGTTTTGCCAACATGAATGAAACTATGGCAGGTGGATCTGTTAGCTTGTTAGAGGAGTGGCATTTCAGACCCTCCACAGTTTATTACTGTGAGGTTTATGGCAGGAATGCAAGGCTGGTTCAATGTTCAGAAATCAATCCATCTAATCAACCATATCAATTGCTTAAGGGAGAAAAACTACACAATAATAGAAATCCAGGGAGAAAAACTACACAATAATAGAAATCCGTGCAGAAAAAGCATTGGACAAAACAAAGCACTCACTCATAATACACACTCTCAGCAAACTAGGACGATACATCATCCTCAACCTGAGACGATGTATCTACAAAAACCTACAGTTAAATATCAGCTCGGCCTGTGTCCAAGGTAGACCAGAAGTGACCTCACTGAAGAAGGGCAGGATTTGGTGGTGGATGAATTCCCAGCCTCCTGGCCCCTGGCCCCCGGCGGGAGGATTCTGAGCAGGTCTGCACACTCTCAGAGTGCCCGGCACCACAGACTCCCCATTGCCACGGCGGGGACCTGCTCCTTGACCCCCTTGGCCGGTTCACCGCCCTCGCTCCGTTCCCGGGATGGCCTCACAGATGATCCTACCCTCGCCTGGGGTCCGCTTCGGGAGGAACCAATCCCGCACCCCCTCTCCGTCCAGGGCTCAGTGAAGAGTGAGTCTCCTCCCTACTTGCAGCTCAGTCTGCACGTCCACCTCTCCGTCTCCCTCTCTCCAGCGCCTTCCAGCGCGTCTGGGTCTCGGTCTTTCTCGTTTGGAGACTCCGGCAGAGCGAGACGACCCGCCACCGACCGCACTGCGGCCAGCGCGGCAGCCCTGCGAAGGCGGTGCCGCGGGCGTCGCTGGCTCCTCCGGGCCGCAGGGGGCGCTGTGGGGCGAGGGCAGGCTCGAGTCCCAGCGTGCACCGCGTGGGGGCTGGCCCTGCGGGGCGGGGCGGGAGGCCGCGCGCCGAGGAGGTTTCGGGGGGCGGACACGGCGCTCGGTGTCTCCGGGGCAGCGGCCGGACGGGACCGCGGAGGGCCATGGCCGAACCGGCTCCGGTAAGAAAGGCTTCCCGCGCGGACGCCCGGATTCCGGGCTCGGGGCGGGGCTCCGGCTTGGCGGGTACCCATCCGGGGTCCTCGTGAGGTGGCAGCAGAGAACGGGTGGAAACGGAGCCTGGAGGTCGCGCGAGGCTCCGAGTGTACGGTCTGGGCCCTGGACGGAGCCGGTGACCGCCACTTCTGGGGCTCGTCCGTGGCCGCCCTCGCGAACAAACCGAGCGTGGACCAGGGCTCAGCAGCGGGCCCAGCCTGGGCGGGGGGCGCCCGGGCGCGGCGGGGGCAGGCAAGGGAAAGGAGAGAAATGGGTCTGGTGCCGGCGGTTTGTGTTAGAGCTCAGCCAGTTTACATCACAGTTACTGAATTCGGAACAAGTGTTTTAAAGACAAGATTTTGAGGATTAAAGCGATTGTCTGGCAGCAGCTTGAATAAGAGAATTCATCTGCTAACGTGTTACAGTTTGTGTTGAGTGGAAGGAAGGAAGGGAGGTTGGAAGGAATAGAATAGGATATAAAACCCTAAACAGAGTACACGTTATTTGATTATTTAATGTTTTGTTGTAATCGAGGTTTAGAGGGAATGGCCATTATTTTTTTTTTAAATGTCTTATAAACTTTGATTTTGACCATTTTTCCTGATTACTAAACGAATTCATGAGGTTATTAATTTCCAAATAGCGTTAACAGTCTCCGCTAAGAAAATGTAATTTCTAGGATTAAATATTCAAAAGATATGCAACACCTTTATGGGGAAATTATAAATAAATGGGAGATAACCAGGCCTATAGATGGAAAGACTAAATACAGTAAAAATGATACTTTTCTTCCAACTTAACATATACATTTACTGCAGTTTTATTAAAATGGCAGTAAGACTTTTGGTGACTTTAGACAAACAGATTCTAAATTTCATTTGGAAAAATGCCAAAAATATGATTCTGAAAAAAGAACAACGAAAAGGGAATTGCCCTAGCAGATAATGAAACTTATTAGAAGCCCATAGAATTACTACCGTGCTATTTTGTGCAGGGATAGACACACACAGCAGTGAAAACGGAAAGACAACCCAGATGTAGACTGTACTTTGTTGACTAGTGTCTCCCCAGAATTCATGCCCTTTCTGGAACTTCAGATTGTGACCTTACATGAAGTAAGGTTGTTGCAGATTTAATTGGTTAAGATGAGATCATAGCGTAGTAGGGTAGGTTCTTAATCCAGTGTGACTGTTATCTTTTTAAGAGGAAACACAGAGATCCAGACACACAAAGTTACTGTTACAGTGGAGACAGAGATTGGAGTTATGCAGCTTTAAGTCAAGAAATGCCAGGGATTGCCAGCCAGTACTAGAACCTAAGGGAAAGACATGGAACAGCTTCTCCCCTGGAGGCTTCAGAGATAGCATGATCCTGCTGACACCTGGTATCAGACTTCTAGCCACTAGAACTATAAGAGAATAAATTTTTATTGTTTTAAACCACCCAGTTGGGATACTTTGTTACAGCAGCTTTAGGAAAGTAATACAGAGACTTTCAAAAGCAGTATTGGGACAATTGCCTTTTCCAGTTGGAAAATAACATTAAGGTAGATCACCACTGTATAACAAAAAAATTACATTATGTTCCAGATAAATTTAAAATCTAAACATGAAAAGTAAAACAAGCCTTTTGGAAAAAAATTTAGAATATCTCTGTAACCTACATATAGAAAAAATGTTTAAAACACAGAAAGCAGGGGCGCCTGGGTGGCTCAGTTGGTTAAACGACTGCCTTCTGCTCAGGTCACGATCCTGGAGTCCCAGGATCGAGCCCCACATCGGGCTCCCTGCTCGGCAGGGAGTCTGCTTCTCCCTCTGACCCTCCCCCCTCTCATGTTCTCT